AATGGGGATTCTTCCCCCTGACCCAGCATTTGAGGTTTGCATCCATGTTGTAAGACCAGCCACCCTACCCTACCCTACCCTACCCTACCCTTCCTTCCTTCCTTCCTTCCTTCCTTCCTTCCTTCCTTCCTTCTTGTCTCTGTATCCAGCATACTTCTCCCTGGCCATTTAACCAGATATTCTGGGGTTTGCAGCACAGACTGAATCATAGCTAAGAATACAGACTGAGTTAGCTAAACAAGCTAGACTAAAGCATGTGAACTACTTTGTGGTTGGGGAGTGGGTATATGTGTCTTAGAGGGAATGGAACTATTGCTGTGGCTTTTAAACTTTTCACAAGTGAGATGGATCCATGCATTGCTTTGAAGGACGACTTCTAAATGTTTGATATAATTCTGGCAGAAGTAGTATATCTCCTGGGACTTGGAGCCCATGCCTCCCAGCTTAGTTTCCCTGCATTTCTCTCCATCATCATTGCAAGCCGTCATGGCTTAGCCGCCCTTGAAGACCAGTGTGCTAGAGAAAGCAGGGAAAGGATACAATGAAACTAAAGACAAACATTATAAAAATACAGATTGCCCCAGTGCCATATTTACCTAAACAAAACCAGGAACATTATAATAAACTGGCCCAGCGTGCATGACACATTTACCACATTATCCTCTTTGCAGACAGAGGTTTAAGTGGGAACTAAAACAAAGCCTTTGCAAAGAACTGGACATGCTAGCCAGAGACAGTTTATAATATACCTGCCCCAAGAGGCTCTTTTTCCACATCTGCTTGTAACTCATTTGCATCAGGCACATGACTAGAATTCAGTGGTGATATGGACAGAGCACTTCCCACAAAGTCCCATGAAAGAGTCAGAGTCACCGTGTTAATTTTTTTAACTCTGTAAGCTATTTTTTTTTTAATTGCGTTTATGTGCAGCCTTTTCTCTTGAAAGCTCAAGGGGGTATTGCTGGGGTTTCCCTCATTTATCTTCCCAACAGTAATCTCTGTGAAGTAGCTTGGGTAGAGAGAATGACTGGCCCAAAGCCATCCCATGAGGTCATGGTCAAGAGGCTCTTGAATTTGGCTCTTCCTGGTCCCAGTCCAACATCTTAACCACTATATGCTATATTAAGAAAACTTTTGTATGTATTTTTAAAACATCAGACCAACTGCCAGTTGGGGTGTTTGTTAGAATATTGGATGCTGGCTTTGGAGGCCTGGGCTCAAATTTCAGTTCCCCTCTGAAGCTTCTTTGAAAGTTGACTTCAAAGCAGTTGACTACTTTGCTAGGTTGTCATAATGGTAGAACCAAACCAGAACTTAAATTCCTAAAGGAACAATGGCTAACATAACCACCCCCACTGACAAACAGGATTTCATGCAAGTATTCTGAATCTGAGGATTACAAAGATGAACATATTAAAATATTTGTGCCTTTGTGCCAGTCTTGACTCCTTGCAACTACATGGACAGGTCTATGCAGTTTTCTTGCCAACATTTGCAGAAATGACTTGACCTTGTCTTCTTCCTAAGGCTGAGAGTTGATGAAACCATAGGTTTACTTGAGTGATTTAAAAAAAATAAAATAATAAAGGCTTGAGGCATAGGTTTAACTTGAGTGATATCATAGACTGGGTGTAATTTCCCATTGGCTGCCTTCTTCTGGAATTTCTTTTTTTCTTTTTTTTTAAATCTTCCTAGTCTAGCCTACAGTTCTGAGATTTCCTAGTGATCTCCCAACCAAGCTTTAACTAAGTCTGGGTCTCCTTAGCGTTTTTGCATCTGCTGATAGGAGCTGTCCGCTTTTGTGGCTGAGTGATTAACAGAACAGTAATCAGAAAGTGAAAGATCTTGGCTTAAACATTACTGTTTCTCTCATCAAACGTGTATATGATTATTATAGTAGATCAGTGTTTCTCAACCTTGGGAACTTTAAGAGGTGTGGACTTCAACTCCCCGTGCTGGCTGGGGAATTCTGGGAGTTGAAGTCCACACATCTTAAAGTTCCCAAGGTTGAGAAACACTGTAGTAGATGATACAGAGTAAATAAAGAAGTACATTATAAACATGACAAAATGTTTCTTCCCACTAATGGTGTTCTGGTATTTATTTTTTATGAAGGCTGCCCTTTTAAATTGTGCCACCGAAAAGTCTTTAGGCAGCACTGATTTTCTCATGAAAGCCCTCTCTAAAAACTGAGTAAGGGAAACTAATTAAAAGCATTTCAAGTATACGAAAGACAGCTCAGAATTGTTCTCTGTTGTGTTCTGGTTGTGTTTCTATTCCACAAATAATGATAAGGATCGGAAGCATTTATACATTTGTCTCTGATGAAGGCCTCTAAATTCTTAGGGCTTATTGGTATTACATTTCAGTGTGTTCTAGGATTTTTCATTCCTCCTTTTGACTCATTAATGGTTTGGTTTCTTTCTTTTTTATTTTTTTCTGCAAATCTTGCACGGAGCAAGGAGTGGAATATAATGGTCTTCAAGGTCCTGCCAACTCTTTGATGTGTCTCTGTTATTATTATGGGTTTTTTTTCAGCAAGGTTATACTTATTTTTTTTTACTATGTTTTTTGTGGATCACTTTATAAGCTTGGGACATACTGTTTTTCAGTAATAGAAGCATATCAATACATGGAATAATAGAACCACAATATTCTTACAGTTGGAAGGAATCTTGCAATTTACCTAAGTGAATTATAATTCTGTGCTGGATTATAATTCTGTGCTGGACTGGCACCACTAGATGGTGAACTACCTCCAGCAAAGGTATTTAATTTACTGCCTCTGTTTACTCTGGTCCTGCATCAGTTACCAGTTACTCCCATTCCCAGTCTGATAGACTGCTACACCTTAACAGGGACATCAGAGTGGGTATTTGCTGAAAGAGAGAGAGAAAGAAGCTTTGGTTGCTAGGATTGTTTAGAAGCACAGTGACTCTGCCTGGAGAACATCTGGCAACCCTCAAAAGAAGATAAACTGGCTTAAACAGTTCAGGGATTGCGCAGCCTGCCCTTGGGTGGGGCTTCCTCTTGCAATTTCAATGCCTGCCACTTGTCCCTAACCCTCCCCCCCCCCCCCTCCAGAGAGGATGAGTTTGGCCTTGGTGTCAGCCAGCTTGCTGTAAGTGATCTTTCCTTATCTCCCAGCTGACAACATAGCATCCTTCATCAGCCGTATTTAAGGGCAGAGACCAGCGAAGCCTCCAGTGACAACAATAATTCCTGGGACTCAGAGATACAAGGAGTGGAAACAACCATCAGGAATCCTTTGAGACTTTTAAGGACTCTCACGATGCTGCCAGCAACATTCAAGCTTTGTGCCGGCATTTCCTACAGACATTTGCACAACATGACAGGTAAGGAGGAGTAACAGAGGTCTTGAGCAGCAAGAGCAGATAGGAGACAATATTTGATGGTTGGTTGAATCAGACTAGCCAAATTCAGGGCAATTCTTTTGAACGACTCAGGCTGGCAGTTGATGTGCAGCGTCATGGAAGACAGGCTAGGCTGAGAAGATTGATCCTGACACTTTCTGCATCCAAAGCTGACACTTTATTCCTGAGCAATGAACCACCTAGGTCCTTTTTTGCTTTGGAAATCAATATGGATCAAGTCAAATCAATAGGCATTAGTGTGCAGCTAACAGACAAAGTTTGAAGACAGGTTGATAGAAGGTTAATGTTTGTTTTTTTTTCCAGACAGGCAGGATGGGTTCCCTGTAGCCCCCAAGAGAGTTAATTACAGAGTTGAAATGCTAACCTGACATTTCTTGGGATTAGTTCTGTTCATTTTTTTATCATGCAGCATATGTACAATGAAGACAGAAAGATGCTGTAACAAACAGCATCATGCACTTCCTTTTTCAGATTAGTTTTGGAAACTGTTAGGATCCAGTTGGAATGGAAGAGAACTGGAATGCAAGGAGAGAGTCTAAGAGAGAATGAATATGATAGGGAATACACCCCTCCTTTGGAGGCACTGCTCACATCCTTCTGGCTGCTGAATTATCATGGCCAAAAGTGTTGTGCTTTGGACATCAGATGAAATGCAACAAGGCTACATGTGAACTATGAACTGAACAAAAGAATAACATTCTGCAAATTCAGACCATGTGCCACTAATCCAGCACCTTTATTCACAGTAGCCCAGCAGATGCACAGGAGAACCCAAAAAGCAACTATTCAGAGCCAAGCTTTCTAATGGAGAAAAGTCTTAGCTGTTACTTTCTGCCTTGCATGCTTTGTTGAGGGCAAACTCTTCCTGCCTATTAATAGCTTAAGATTTGTCCGTTGGCAGTTAAGGAATTTATTTCTCTTTCTTTCTCCCCCACCCTTACAATTAGCACTGTTAGAGCAGCTCTGCTTTCACTGTCAGTGGCTTTAGGGGTTGGCATCATCAGGCTTTTGCCAAAGTCATGTAGTGCAGGGGATTCATCACCAGTTCAGATGCCAGCACTAATGCCAGAAGTCTCTCCTTCTGTGGTTATCAGCAGCCTGGAAGGGAAAATATCTTGGGACCATCACAGGACGGTGAAGGACCAACTCCTTCTCCTTCTAAGGCTCTAGATAGTCTTGCCATGGCCATTGATTGGTATTTTAGAAAAACACCTTCCTTCTTTCCCTACAATTGGTCAAAAAGGGCACAAGAACTACCATAAGCCAAAGAATGGCTCAGAAGCAGGATTGAGAAATGCTTATGGCAATGATGTTCGTTGATGTATTTATCTGGAATATTTATGTTCCACCTTTCATCCATCCTGGATCTCAAGATGACCTACATGGGGTTCCCAAGCAGACTCTCATCCGGGCACTGACCAGACTCAGATCTGCTAAGCTTCAGCAAGGTGGCTGTTTTGTCTGATCGCAGGCCATGCTCTGCGATGCCTTTTCCAGTCATTCAAGTGCCTCTTCCTAACCACTGTGCATTAATTTTCTTTTCTGTATTAATCAATATGTACCCTGCTATATATTATCAAGATCAGGGGTTGGGAACTTTTATGGTCCATGGGTCATATGTAGTTTGCATTCTAAAGTAAACATTAATTTTAGGCTACATATATGTGAAAAACTTTGGTTACTTTGACTTAAAATGTGGCAGTCTTTTCAATCTCCTCCCCTCCATCACATAACTTTGCTCCACTCACATTTTTGCTTGGCCATATCTACTTTCTTGTCCCCAAGTTTTTAAGTTGAGCCCTTGGTCTCCTGCACAAGTATGAAGCATGACCTTGAATTCAACAAAGATTGTTCACCCCTGATCTGGATAAATATTTCAAGGGTGCAATTTGTACGGGAAGGGTTACTATCTCAGATCCTCGAGCCAAACTAGATGTGAAAGGGCTATCCAGCTTTTCTTTGTTTATTTTTTTTAACACTGTGCCAAAATCGATTTTCCAATATCCCTTTGTTTTCTTCTCTTGCAAAAGAGGTGTTTAGATTTTTTTTTCTTTTTAAAACGCATTCTTGGAGTGATCTAGAATTTTTCCTGAGCTTAATTTACCATGGCAAGAGGATGTTGCACATCTCCCTGTCACTTTGCTGCCTCCCCAAATGGGAGATCTTATCTGATGTTGCCTCTCTTGGGATCGAATCCAAATATGGGAAGTGCTGGAGAGAGGTGTACAATAAAAAGAAAGGATACTTACAGCTCCAAGCTCACATTAGAATTTCAATAAATGCTGAAGTCCTGCATCCCAGCCATGAAAAATTACCAAAGTGCTGTTCTCCTTTGTGGGGAAAAATAGAAGGCAATTTCTTTTCTCTCCAAACCAAGGAGAACGATAAGGGAAAATGCAAAAGAAATGTTTGGCACAGTGCTACATTTTTTTAAGCAGCCTTCGATGGTTTGTAGTGTACTAACAGGGGAATGGCTTGACCCGTTCTTCCTGTGGCATTTTTGAGATTCAAATCACCAATGTGTTTTCTGCATGTTTCCCTTATGGAGCAAGCAGGAGCTTAGGGTCTGGGAGCAAATTAAAGCTGGAAAATAGTAACAAGAGCTAGAATTGATTTTCAGCAACAGTACTATCTTAAATCTGCCCAACGTTTTGGCTGCCATTATGAGATTTCTTTTCTTTTTTCACTTCTAGTTTAGCTCTTCCACCATGTGAAATAAATCATATCTGGGATCATCTGGTCTAAATGTTGCTGGGTAATTATAAAGCAATTTTAAAATCACCAACCTGGTGGTATTGATTGTACCTGTCTCATTGGATTGTCCAGTATAGACTGAAATGAGAGATCTCCATTTTGGGTCTTGGGGGAAACTTAGCAGTAGCAATCAGAAAATCCTTGGTTCAAAATGAGAAAACAAAATAAAACTACTTAAGGTTAGCAATGTCAGTTCTGCTAGGTCAGACTTCCTCTTTTGGAAGTTCAAGATTCTGAGAGCTGAAGACCAGCATAATTGGAAGGCAAGAAACTGGGGAAGTATAGGCTAGATGGTTTGATTTAGTACATCGTATTTGGACCAGTCAAAGAGAATGGTGGGTGGTGAAGGGTAGGATGAAAGGTATGGGCTGTCACTCTCTAGGACAGTGTTGTCCAAACTTGGCCACTTTAAGATGAGTGGAATTCTGGGAGTTGAAGTCCACTCATCTTAAAGTGGCCAAGTTTTGACAACACTGCTCTAGGAGAAAAAAATCTGCTTCTTTTTTTCCCTACAGATCGTTAACCAGTGGTGGTGGTGATGGGGTGAATGAAACAAGACTATTAGCACCACAAATGTAATGTTAGGGATCCTTTAGGATGTTTGGGAGAAACTGGTTGAAGAACTATTCTGATCCCCTCCTTCAAAGCGAAACCATAGATTGGCTGGACCAATCTGGATCTTCCAAGGCTTCCTCTAGCAGGCTCAGCACTAGCAGGACTTTTCTCCTGTCACAGAAAATAATAAATGGCCAGATAAACTTCAGCAGAGGGCGAGATTTGACCCATGGCTTTTATACAGAGAATCTGTATCAAGTGTCCCTCCAGTTGTGGCTAATCTCCAGTTCCCAGCATCCCTTAACATTGGCCATGGCTTGCCCACCCCATAGACATTTGTTATCAGCTCTGTCATGAATCTTGAGGCTTAGTGAGCGCTTTCCCAGACTCAGCCTTCAAATAATATTTGCCTCTTTCAAACACTTGTGAAGTCATAAAGTTTAGTGTGCTTGTTTGGAGACTATCTGATTTCATAGCTATGTTGGTTGTTTAATTTGACCTGTTAAATTTACTCTTTGGATTTTGAATGGAAGGTTGGCTATATATAAAGTAACTGATGAACCTGCTGTACAATATTCCCATTTGGATCCAATAAGGAGAAACTAATTCTGACATTTTCTAGCAGAATCCAGCCACGCTCTGTGCTGATTACTATGAACCTCTGATATGATGAACCTATTTTTCTACAGTTTTTTACTACTTGATTGTATTCACAGAATATACTTAACCAGGTCTATGATAAACCTACCAGCTGCAGTTATGCAGTGTTCCAAGTTTGGTTCATCTTAACCTTGGGACAAAGGATGGGCGGGGATGCTTGGCATAACAGCTTGTGTAAATTAGCCTGTTCGGTTGTGTATCAAACAACAACACCACACTAAATATTAATTTAATAACCAATGTAGGCCTGTTGTGCAAACACAGAAGACAGAAAAACTGCCTGGAGTTCTCCTTATATTATTTTTTAAAAACAAACAAATAAACAAACAGAAGAATGAAAATCAAGCTATTGATGAACTTTTATCCAAATAAATGTGTAAACAGTTACTTTAAAATGCAAACCACCTTCCTTTGAAGCAGGAGGGCACTAATGATTTTCTCCAACTGGAGGCACAGAGTCTTCTGCTCTTCGGTGCAGGATTCGTTTCTCAAAAAATCCTGGGAAATTTGGTTAATGGAATCACAGCTTTTTGAAGCAGCCCTCTACAGATGTGCAGTCTGTATGCACATCTGTAGGATGCCAGGAAATTGTTCTTTTAGGGACTCTGGAAGAGGGTGAAGATACAATCAGTGCATAATTCCTTTTCTTTTTTTCTCCCACAACAATGTCGTGCCTTCTTCCTCTTAGGTTTGAAGAGACAAGCAGCGGTTGCCATTGTCCAGGAGCTGAAGAAAGTTGCATTTTCCAGGCCTGGTCCTACCCAGTGGATCAACAATGTACACAGAAGGAGTTCTTTGCTAGGCAAGTAGGATGTGATTTTCTTTTTCTTCCTAGGAAGCACCTCCCTTTTTGAGTGTGCTGCTGCTAGTGGTAGGAGATTGGAGTCTATTTGCTTTCTGTTTCTTAAATCTAATTCAATTGTGCAGGTTCTAGGCTGGAAGAGAACCCTTTCAGTGATACGGAGATGTCCTACATCAAACAAGGAGAGGAGGCTCTTCAGAAGTCTCTGAATATTCTTGGAGAAAAAAGTGGCTGGAAAACGGAGGCAGTGATGGTAGGCTTAATAGTTTTCTGAGAGGGGTCTGTTGTTCTTTTCCATCCATCTGCAAAGATTCAAGTTTCAACACTGATGTTCAGTGAGAAGTTGGGATGCACAACAATGGTCTAACTAGGATTACAAGCCAGGCTGGGTTTAGCTGATTGAGGGAAACAACTAAAGAGTCCTTCAAGTTGAGCTATGTTCACGTAGTTTTCTTGGCAACAATATGGAAGTGGTTTGCCATTGCCTTATTTGGGGAATGGTTTGTTTGTTTACTTCCCAGTTTAGCCAAGAATTTTCTAGTCTCCCATCCAAGTATTGATTGAGTCCAAACCTGATATTATTTTATTATTTCCTTTGAATTTTTTAGAGATCAGTCAAAGTCAACTAGTGCTATCCACCTGAAGCCACAATACTGTTTTTAAAAAGTATGTAAATATGTTTTGGAGAAAGAGAAAAGAAAAGAAAGAGAATAAGGCCCACATCAAATGTGGGGGGGGGGGGGACAATTTCTCATTCAGGGGGACACATAACTTTTTGGCTGTACTTGGCTTTTGAGTGGCACAAGGGAGGTTGCACTTTCAAAAATGGGCATAGCTAAGTTGAAGTCAAAATTTGATTAAGTGATAGAAACTAAAATATTAAAACACATCTCATGATTTCTCCTAATATATTTAACCCTTTTGTTCCACTAAAAATGTAGTCTCCCAGCTACTTTGAAGCTTTAGGGTTACTGTCAAAGCTTTGAGGGTCACATGTAACCTTTAAATCAGAGACTGTATACTTTTACATTAGAAGAATGATTTGCAGTGTTTCATAAGTGTGAACAAACCCTCTCCTCTTTCAGGCACATGAGGAGGAAACTAGAACGTTAACTTCTGACTTTAAAATACTGTCGTTTCTTATGACATCTAAGTCAGGGAGCTCTGGTCTGAGAAGAAGCCTGGGGTTCTCCTTAACCATATTTTAAAAGCCACAAAACTTGACATTGGAATTCACAAGGAAGTATGGTTAGTTTCAGTTTACAAAATGGAAACTGAGTTTCCTCCAGCATGTACAAGAGGAAGAGAAACAAGGAAGCAATGCATAATGTATTGGCATAATGGAATGTTTCCTGCCATGTCTGAATTGGGCCAGACTGTAAAGATATTCCTTGCATTATGCTAGATCTATTAAAGCTGGACTGCATAATCTAGAAAGATTTAATTGGGGGGAAATTAGTTGGGAAGGGAGAAGAAAATAAAGTAAGGTTAAGCACCAGCTATAATGACAAAATTTAGGTTGCTGCAATGTAGAAATGGCTGAAGTGTAATAAGAAATTGGTTTTAGCATAATGGGCTGCAACAGAAATCAGATCATTTAAGTAGAATCTTATCAGGTCTCTTAGCTCAGCCAAAGGAACCTGTGATCAGCTTTCAAGGGTGGTCCTGTGTAAAGCATAGGTCAGTAGTACAGCTGGAGCTCTCTCTGAATGTCTATGTGTCCTGCTTATACATACCAGCTAAATCAATGTCTCTTTTTTCTTTTCTACAGGGCAATGGCGACAAAGTCTTAAGCAAAGTGCTGCCTGACGTGGGGAAGGTGTTCCAGCTTGAGGTGGTGGTTGATCAACCCCTGGATTGTGTCTATGATGAGTTAGTGGAAAAGATGGAGCAGATGGGAGACTGGAATCCAAATGTTAAAGAAATCAAGGTAAGGCTTCTGCAGGCAGAGACCCTTTTTTGGAAATGAGAAAAAGCTGCAAGGATTATTAAGCACGTGCTTTGCTTTAGTGGCCCTTTCAAAACTTCTAGAAGCAAAACTATTGTTGAGTGAGAATGAACAAAGTAAAACGATACTTGGGATTAGATTGCTGGAGAATATTCAATAGGGATTAGGAAATTCTGTTCCCCAGATGTTGAAACATAATTCTGGGCATCCTTCTTTCTTGACCGCAGTGGCTTGGACTGCAGGACTGTAGTTCAGCAACATCTGGAGAACCTCAATACAAAACCCTGATGTACAGTAAACTCTGCTTGTAACATGAGCAAGTGAAAGTGCAAAAATAACATTTGCAACAGCTAGCTGTGTGCTTCAGCGTCCCACATCTATTAAAAACAAATATTGATTCCATTCTCTAGACCTGATCTTTCTGCAGCTGAGCCTGTCAGGTTTAGAATCTAACTTTTACTAACATGGAGGCATATCTATGTCAATTCATGTTATTTCATGTATGAAGAAAGGGGTTTGGCTGAGCATTAGCTATCCACTCTCTGGATGTGTTCTGTCAGCCACTACCTTGTGGAGAAGGTTCACCCAATACGTTGGCTGTGCATAATCAGAGATGCCCCAGCCTGAGAGTTAGCACTGGGGCACCTTAACAAGCTAACAGCTCCCACTTTTAGGGCAAGAGGAGAAACCCACATTTACCATCTCATTTCCTGCAGGTGAGGGAATCTATTTATTGCATATTCCATTACATTAGCTCTTTGGCTTGTGATCCAAAACTGAATTCATTCTACGTTTTAGAATGTTCCAACTTTCTCCATAAGAAATTTGCTTCATCTTTCTATTATTATTATTATTATTATTATTATTATTATTATTATTATTATTATTATTATTATTTAATTGATATCTTTTCATAGATTCTCCAGAAGATTGGCAAAGATACCGTGATCACTCATGAAACCTCAGCGGCCACCCCTGGCAACATAGTTGGTCCACGAGACTTTGTCAGCGTCCGTTGTTCCAAGAGGCGTGGATCCACATGCCTCTTAGCTGGCATGTCAACCACCTACGCGGCCATGCCGGAACAAAGAGGAGTTATCAGGTATTCTTTGCCTTTACTTAAACTACATAGTTCAGTTATGGAACAGATGCCCAAATCTAGGGCCTTCCAGCTATGTGGAAGCAGAACTCTCCTTAACAATGCTGGAATATTATAGAAGTTGTAGCCCAACACATCTAGAGAGCACCAGGGTGAGGACGGCTACCCTAAGACATGGACATCATGGTAACAATATAGTTACTAACATCTTGCATCTTCTCTTAGGCTGATGTGCTGAGATATGCCATTCCATGCCATGTTTTCTTTCTTCTCCGCAGAGCTGAGAATGGTCCCACATGCATGGTTCTTCGTCCGGTCCTAGGAGATCCCTCACAAACCAAGTTAACCTGGCTTCTCAGCATTGATTTAAAGGTAGGTATATATGGCAAGATAGCCAGTTTGGTGTAGTGTTTAAGGCACCAGGCTAGAAATCAGGAGATTGTGAGTTCTAGTCCTGCCTAGGCACAAAGTCAGCTGGGTGATCTTGGGCCAGTCCCTCTCTTTCAGCCCTAGGAAGGAGGCCATGGCAAATCACTTCTGGAAATCTTGCCAAGAAAACTGCAGGGACTTGTCCAGGCAGTTTCCAAGAATTGGACACAATTGAATATGTGTGTGTGGGTCAAACCAGATTAAATTGTGGTTAACATTACTTTTACAAAGACACTTTCATGCCATCTTATAATGGTTTGTGGGGTTAGGACTGTCTCCAGCTTAGATCAGTAACTGGGAATATTTGTATTGCCTGAAATGAAGATAATCTAACTCCTTTTGCTGTTAGGGGAAAAACTTACCTTAAATTGAATTTAAGATAGGTTTTATATATAAAACCCTCTATCTGCAACCCTCCCATTTTAAAGTAATTTATTGGGAAGAGATGAGTCTACCTTTTATGCAAATATTATAGTTTTCATTTATTTTTATTTTTTCCCCCTCATAAAAAAGTGCCAGAACTTTTTCCTAAAGCTGTGTAGGATTTTTGTGGTCAACGGCAGAATCTTAGCTGACAAGAGAATCATAAAGTACAAAGATATACAGGTTCACAATTCAATTAAATGGGTGCATGGAGAATTGGATGAGAAATAAATTCCCCCTTCCCTTTCATAGCTGAAATTTACTGGTAGCAAATTTCAGGTCAGAAACATAAAGCTCCTTAATGCAACCTTAATAAATTTATGAAATATATTGAAATAAGAAAGAATCATAGATTTGGTCCAGAAACTGTAGCTCTCCAGAAGCTGCTGAAGTACCAGTTTCTTTTTTTTAATATGGAGCTTGAGTCTACATTTAACTGCACTGCAACCTGGTTTAATATCCCTACCTTGTTCTTTTTTAATTCCAGGGGTGGCTTCCGAAAACACTAATCAACCAAGTTCTTTCTCAAACCCAAATGGATTTTGCTAACCATCTCCGCAGTCATTTGACCAAATCTGTATCTGCGCAGGCCGTCAGATACTGAAAAGAAATTTCCCCACCTAGCAATTCTTCCTGGATGATGATCTCTCTCCATCCCACTCATGGATCACTTACTGAAGACTCTATCCCAGAGAATTGATGCTTATCCCTCTTGAAATTAACTCCTCTCTCCTGTTAACATGCAGACTTCTTTGCTTTTTTGTTGCATCCTTACGTTTAAGAGCCTCCCCTTAGAAAGATGTGTACAAAGTTTGTGTTCAGGACTGCGGCAGAATAAGATATCTGCTTCAGGTGGCAGGCACTGAAGGGGATACCAAGAGATATCAATGGTGATATCAACCATGCAGTTTGCCGGGACCCACAAGGCTAGCCTGTTGCTTGCATGGGCAAGGCGTTGCATCTTACTTCTGATCAGCTTCTAAAAACTGAAATAGGTAAGGCAGGATAAATTGTATTGAGAAACAGGTGATCTCCCTCCTTGCATGTTACATTCACAGTAAGCCTAGAGCAGTGTTGTCCAAACTTGGCCACTTTAAGATGAGTGGACTTCAACTCCCAG